AATTTTTATAAACGTTTTTACCAGAAGGAGGGTTATTAAAAATCACTGGGAGTATTCAAACGTATGTATTATATTTTCAGAATAGCCTACATCCCCTATTACCAGCAATGTCCTTACCGATATCAACTATTTATTTAATGTCAAATATCAATACAATTTACCAATTACATACATTGGGAGATCATTGTGATTATTATTTAATTTCCATTCAATTCGATATAATTAAAATGCCCTTGTGTGTGTTCGGCGTTCCATTACCGAATGCAGTTCCAACCGAATCTCATTTTAATCAATTAGAAATGTTTTGACTTTTGTGGTTTGGCTTTTTATTTCACTTGGCAGGAAACAACATATAATTGCATATTAAATTTATATATTCAAAAACAAAGACACTAAGGCTAATGTCAAACCCGTATTCGCATCTGTGTCAGTCGGTTTATACAATCAAAGGCAAACGCATACATACACATACATGTGTATGTGTAAATAAATAAAGCATGCAATAGATTGATTCACGCGGTTTTGAAAGAAAGAGTAATTTTGAAATATTTTGTGTAAGGGGAGACAGTCTTTAAGTTAGAGTTTGGAAATTCGCCTTATATCCGTTTAATATTTTCAAAATGTATGGTATGTGCATACTTAAAAGTATATATGTTCCTAGGGCGGAACACACCTAATACATTGTACTCGTAATGTCACAATGTTGATCTCTGACACCGAGCACATGCATTAGTTAGTTGTTTGGATTCTAAGGTCATTATACACATACATACGTACATACACACATCTACACACACACGCACTTCTAAACACTCGTTCAAACCAAAACAGATCCCCTCCATAGAATGCACATTGTTGTTTGCCTTTACGAATTGACTCAAAAGGACGAGAGGAAGACGAAGAGTTCTGCTCTCTACAAAGCGAAAGTGACTGCGTTTGTGTGGCTAATACACAGAAGAGAGTGAAACGTGTGTTTGCATGGATAGCTGGATGGTTGGTAGGTAGGATGGTAGATTGGCTTTCTTCTCGCCTGCCTGCCTGCCTGGCTGCCTGATGAGATTGCTGTTGTGGCTGACACTGAGCAATTGCTGTAAGGGGGATTTAATTTGTTTGCTCGTGTTCGCCTCTGCGGCTGACCTTATTCTTGGTGCATGGCACATGGTAATTGACGTTTATTAATTGAAAAATAATAATTTCCCTTCGGCCCCAGAATAATGCTTGGACAATAAAAGACATATATCCGTAAATACAAATTGACACACAATCATATGTACACACAAATAAACAGGTATAAGAAAGGGGGACTGGGATTTTGCTGTGTAATTGAAGTTCTTGGTAGGAAAAACAGTGAGGGACAAAAACTATATGGATTATATCTGTGGGATATATTTTTGCTGAAAAGGAAATGCTAGTGGGATTTTTCCCTACACCACATAGTGGTAAGGGTATTATGTCTTTGTGCATTTGTTTGTAACAGGGAGAAGGAAGCGAGATAGACCCATAGTTACTTTTGAGGATATTCATAGAATCACTTTCTGAGTCAATTTACGCATGTCCGCAAGTCCGTCCAGGTATTCTTGTGAACAAAATGCAGGTCGTATTTATTATCCGATTAAGAAGAACTTTTGCAAACAATATTTGTTTGGCCCAAGGACAAACCCTATTGAAATTGGTGATAATCGATTCAGATTTATATTAAGCTCCCAAATATATTCATCCGATTTCGGGTTAATTGTGCACCAAACGGCCAATATCAGTTCAAATAACCCAATTTTTGCACATTCGACCGCATTCAGTCTAGAAACAAGTACTTCAAAAATCGGTTCAGATATATCTATAGCTCCCATATAAATTTTTCATCCGATCTTGGATTTTAAGTCCCTCACATGCGTAATATGCACTCCACAAGAATGATATTTGGTACCAGACATCAGATACTGCTCGAAAATACCTCTGTCAAATTTTATCGAGATCGGTTCAGATATAGCTCCCTTCCTTATCCAATATCAGGTTTATTGTGCACCAAATGGCTAATATCTGCCCAAATGGACTGAGTTTTGAAAATTACGACTGAATTCATCCTAGAAAAAAGTACTTCAAATTTGGTGAAAAACGGTTCAGATATAGCTATAGCTCCCATATATATGTTTCATCCGATTTTGTGTTTAAATTCTTCATATTCGTAATATGCATTCGACAACAATGATATTTGGCAACAGATATTTTATAGAGCTCAGAAATACCTGTCCCAAATTTTATCGAGAACGGCTAAGATTTGGATATAGCTCAATATATATCCTTAATCCGATACCAGATTTATTGTGCAAATAATGGCTAATATTAACCCAAGTGGAGTGAGTTTCGGGACGTACGTTTCCATTTTGAGGAACTCAGCTCCGATATATATTTTTATATCCTCAGCCATATGGCTACAGAGGGTATATATCATTTGATACGGATACCAAATCCGTTTCAGAACATTTGGAGTCGATCTAGCGATGTCCGTCCATCCGTCTGTCTGTCTGGCTGGGAGGGAGTATCCAAATTGATCCAAACTTGGTACATCGTAATATTTTTGTCAAACTTAGATCGAGTTCGGAGATGGGCAATGTCAGTCCACTACTCCTGGTACCTCCCCAACAGAAGGTCGAAAACTTAAAATAAAAATATTTTTTGCACAGAAAGAGAAAGCATAATCTGATTTTGCTCCAACTTTGCAAATCCTAATATTTGCGTCAGCGCTAGGTCAGGTGTGAAAATGGACAATATCGGTCCACTCCATCCAAAATTTTGAATAATTACTACTCTCCTAAAATGTGATGAAAGAGTCCGATTGTCTTCAAATTTCACACATATTTATATTAACCCAAGGTCTGGTGTTAAGATGAAATAAATCGGTACACTCTTTCTGCTAACTTCTCAACAAATGGTCGAAGTTTTAAAAAAATATATTTTTCGCCCAGAAAGAGAAACAACAATCCGATTTTGCTCCAACTTTGCAAATCCTGATGTTTGCATCAGTGCTAGGTCTGGTGCTGAAATAAACGATATTGGTCCACTCCTTCTGGTACCTCCACAGAAAGGGTCAAACTTTTGAATATCCATGAAGCTCATAAAAAGTGAAATCAACATCCGATTCCATTCCAGACATGGTACATATCAATATTTCCATCAGCACAAGATCTGTTATAAAGATGGTAGATATTGGACAATTTCTTTTGCTTCACATAGCGTTCAAATTTTGAAAAACAAAACGCTCAAAAAAAGCGAAATAGGCATCCAACTTTCTTCAAATTTCACACATACAAATATATTTGCTAACACAAGATCTGTTGTGAAGATGCTATATAAACGAACTTCTTACGGTACCTCACCCACAAAGGAACACAATTTTACTTTTATCTATCATAACTTGCTATATCTAAATATATGTCTCTCAACTCAGAATCCTGAGTTGAATATTGAACTTAAGATTTCCCATAAATTGAATATAAATGTTCGATTTTCTTATATAATTATAATAATATTAATATCATATTTATTTAGGTCCGATATGAAATGGACAATATTGACCCATTCTTTCAAAATCCACTCTTTAGGGTGTCAAGAGTTTGAAAATTCATAACGAGGTCAAAATATTTCTAAATAATCGAACATTGCCTGAGGATATCTATCCGTCGGCTAAACCGACCGATACTTTTTAACTTGTTTTAATATAATCCTTTTCGAGGTGACATCATGGACTCTATAGCATAAAAGATTAAAATGTCTCCGTCAAATATAGTGAAAATCGATTCAGAATTTGATATGGCTCCCATATTTTAGTTCCCTCTGAAACCAACTTATAACTGCTCTTAAGCCAAATGTTTATGGGTTGTATGATCTACTTCAAATAAATTGTTTTGTTACGGGAGCTCTACTAAGAATGCATAGTGGTTTAGGGTATCATAAAGTCGGGCCCGCCCGACTTTCGACCTTTTGACAAAAATGAATGAGTATGTTGTACAATTTAGTAACTTTTAATGCCTTCAAGGGATGAGTTTCCATTTTCTCACAATATATGTTATTCCTCGTGCAAAATGTCAAAATTTTTTTTCGGTTACTTTTCCGAGAGTCATCATCTTCATCATGGTGGTCACATCGTTCTTTCTATGTGCTGCACATTTTGTCTGCCACTGTTACCATGCCACTGCATTCTTACACCGTCTTGCGTCTTTAGCCGCTGCTGTGCAATTATCTGTAAACACAATTCCATGTCGTAATTGCCATAAAATGATTGTGGCAAATGACTGACAAAAGGATAATGTCTGTAATCTGAAACTTAGCAAAACAAAAGCGGATATGCCACACTCACAATAAGTGATCAATTATGTAACATGTGGAGTAGTTTAAATACAGGGTGCAGCAGCAGGTGATGAATTATTGACAGAATTGTGAGCGCGTTTCGTTTCAAATATTCCTTTGCTGCCGACAACAATGTAGGACACACATTTATTTGCATTTAACACTGCGTCTTCGAATGACATGACAGCATAAATAATGTTCGACGAATTTGTCACGTTCAAATCAAATTGAAATCGTGCGGATGTCAGCCAGGGAAAATGCCTTTAAAAGACTGTTCAAAATGAAAGCGAAGACAGAAAAATGGAGAAGAGAATTCAATAAAGTGATATCTGTCAGGTGGTGTAAGATTTAACTGCATTACGGAAAGAGAGAGAGAGATAGAGAATGAAAGAAAGATGGCTTTGAGATGAAAATTGAAAAGAAATTGCAATGACAGGCTTTATTTAATTAAATTTAGCTTAACAACGATTCAATTTTCAGATTTGTGAAATATTTCATGAATTTTCCAGAAATAGGTCTAATATGCTCCATTATATAAGATTATAACAATATAACTATGGAAGGTTAGGCTAAGTCTTGTGGTTTTTTTTTTTAGAGGAAAAGTGATTACAAAAATACTTTGGAAATATGACAATATTTCAGGAGGTTCCACTTACCTGAAAGTTTGTTTATCTTCAGCTTGATGTTTTTTTCTGCAAGTAATTTAAAAACAGAAATCGTTAGTTTGTTTGGTTATATGAAGGATGTAAAAGAGCCATACTGTTTTATTAAGGGAAAATAGTTCCTAAAATTCGATCCACTTTTGGAGAGAGCAGGAACCTCTCAATTCTATAGTCTTAGAAGGCCGATCATATCATACAACACACCACCATAATTTGCCTTAAAGTTTCAATAGATCTGGAACCTTTCTGATTAGATTTAGATTATCGAGATACAATCATCAGTACAACACATAGACTCAAACATGCTAAAGAGTTGCTTCGCTTGGCCGAAAGTGGTGAACTGCCAAATGTGTTTTTCTCCGATGAAAAAACATTCGTTGTCAACCAGTTTATGAACAAGTAAAATGATCGTGTTTACTAGCCAAAGAGGTCCGCTGAAAATGTGCACCTTCGGTTGGCCACCAGAACTGAAGTGCCGGTCATGATGGGCCGCCATAACAGCTGATGGTCGCTCTCCGCTCGTATTAATCGTCCCTGGCATTGGAATAGATGCCGAATATTATTCTGCGAAAATATTCTGCATATTCTGGAAGCCTTGGGCAGGTTAACATTTTGGACACAGACCTTGGACATTCAAACAGGACTAAGTACCATCGCACTCAGCACGCGCCACCCAGCGCAAAATGGCCACCAAAATCTCCGGATACCAATCCGTTGGACTATTGTGTCTGGAGTGTTTTGGAAAGCAAGGTTGGCACTAAAAAATACCAAAGTGTCGATCACCTCAAGCAAGCGCTTCGCCGGGACTTGGCCAAAATACCGCAGAGCAACATTCGGGCAGCGTGTGACGGTTTCATTGGCCGTTTGAAGGCCATAATTCTTGCCAAAGGTGACCAATTAGAATAAATCTAAACTTATTCTCAAATTTGATGATATTTCCGACATTTTTTGCTTTCATTCAATAAAATTTAAAAACAAAAATGTATGGCGTTTGACTTTGTTGCAGTTTTTTTATCTCAGCCTGTAAGCACTAATTTTGGATAACATTTGGTGTCTACGATGGAGAGATGTCGAGTGGTTTGGGTATGCGTACTAAATGTGACTGAATTTAGTATTGGGTGAAGGGAGACCTCGAATTCTGAAATTTGAAAATGTATTCACCGTTGGTTTCTAGAGTTCATATATGGAGACATTGAAATAGTTTTGGACAAAAAAAATATGTGCAAATTGTGCAATGGTTTTACTAGTATCCTCCTCTCGGCAAACTTCAAAATTAAAGATTTTGAAGATTTTTGAATGTGTTGAAGGTATTCTTTCCCAAAAAAATTTCAATAATATACAAAATCTTGAAATTCTGAAAATTTGGCATACATCGTATTAACTTTTCAGACTTTCAGGATCTTATATATTATTTATGTTAGGAAAACGATTTTTACGTTTTAATTATTTATTTTTTATTTATTTATTTTATTTTATTTATTTATTTATTTTTTTTTTTATTTCTTCGTACCCGTTTTTGTGTTGTAGTTTAGTCTTTGACTACTACTCTATCCAAGATGTGTAAAGTTACCTCCTGCATTCTCAAATTCTATACAGTGTAATACAATCTGGGGAAAATTCCCATAATTTTTTTTATTATTTATTTATTTAATTTTTTTTTGTTTGTTTGAAAATCTTGATTTGACACTTTGTTATACTCAAGCCATATGGCTACAGAGGGTATATACAATTTTGTACGGTCAAAACGTGCCTAGTCGAAATAACGGTTTTATACCCTTGGTCTCTTTGGACCAAATCCGTTTCAGAACATTTCGAGTCGATCTAGCGATGTTCGTCCTTCCGTCCGTCCGTCTGTCTGTCTGGCTGGCTGGTGTGCACGATAACTCTCAAAGGGAGTATCCGATTTGATCCAAACTGGGTATATCGTAATATATTTGTCAAACTTAGATCGAGTTCGGAGATGGGCAATATCGGAAATTTTCAAAAAATATATTTTTTGCGCAGAAAGAGAAAGGATAATCCGATTTTGTTCCAACTTTGCAAATCCTAATATTTGCGTCACAGCTAAGTCAAGTGTGAAAATGGGCAGTATTGGTCCACTCCATTAAGTACCTCCCCCACAAATGATCGAAATTTTCAAAAAATATACTTTTTGCACAGAAAGAGAAAGATAATCCGATTTTGCTCCAACTTTGCATATCCTAATATTTGCGTCAGTGCTAGCTCAGGTGTGAAAATGGACACTATCGGTCCACTCCATCAAGTACCTCCCCCACAAATGGTCAAAATTTTGAATAATTACAACTCTCATAAAATTTGATGTAAGAGTCCCATTGTCTTCAAATATCACACATCCCAATACTTATATTAACCCAAGGTCTAGTGTTAATATGGGCAAAATCGGTCCACTCCTTCTGGTACCTCCCCTAAAAATTGTCGAAATTTGCAAAAAAAAAAATATTTTCTGCACAGAAAAGGAAGCAATAATCTTATTTTTCTCTAACTTTGCAAATCATAATATTTGCGTCAGTTCTAGGATTCGTGCCAAAATGCATAATATTGATCCACTCCGTCAAGTGCCTCTCCCACAAAGGGTCAAGTTTTTGAATAATAATAAATTTAAAGAAATATGATGTAAGAGTCCGATTGTCTTCAAATTTCAAAATCTTCATCAACGCAAGGTCTGGTGTGGAGATGGGAAATATCGGTCCACTCCTTCTGGTATCTCCCCACAAAAGATCGAAATGTTCAAAAACCTATTTTACTCCACAGAAAAAGAAAGGATCATCTGATTTTGCTCCAACTTTGCAAATTTTTAAATTTGTTTCAGTGCTAGGTCAAGTGCGCGAAAATGGACAACATCGGTCCACTTCATCATGTACCTCCCCCACAGATGGTCAACATTTGGAATAATTGTAACACTTATAAAATATGATATAAGGGTCCAATTGTCTTCAAATTACACTCATCACAATATTTTTATTAACCCAAGGTCTGGTGTGAAGGTGGAATGTATCGGTCCACTCCTTTTGGTACCTCCCCCACAAAGGGTAAAAGTTTTAAATATCCAAAACGATTATAAAATCCGAAATAAGCATCTGGTTCTCTTCATATGTCACATTCCATTATATTATTACCTCCCCCACAAAGGGTCTAAATTTTGAAATTCCTGAAGCTCATAAAACGTGAAATTAATAATCAATGATTCTTTAACTTGTTATTGATGCATTTCAGGTGGTGTCTCTGACAATATTACAGATACAATTTCATAATAGCATAGAGAATAACTTTGTACCACATAGTTATACTAACACATTCGTGATTACACAGATTGCATCTTAATATTTAACATAAAATTATAATGTGTAAGTATACTTGAAATGAAAGTTTACAGAACATTTTCGAAGAAAATTGTATGTATTTCAAAAATATTAATACTATTACACATGCCAATTATGAACATAAAATATGCACGCACACACCCACACCCATCCATGTTTATTTGAACCCTTTGACTAATTTATATATTTTCCACAAATTACATGGCCTCAAATAACATAGTCCTTTTTGGACTCCTTTAATATTCAAATGTGTTTCAAATTGCCCTGGTTCGTTAGTGTCTTCCGCCAGCATATGGACATGAAATGTCTTAGATTGATGAATGTATATACATTCACACACACAACCACTCACATGTAGTTTTCAACACTGATTTGGGATTTGATTCTATTAATGTCGATATACCATAACCTTCAGCAATCATTTGAAATATTCTGGAAAACCGAAATCAAATAAATATTTGACATGGTCGACATGGACGTTTTCTTCATCATCGTCATCGTTCTCCTCATCATCATCATTAATATGTTATTAATGATTTTCCCAAGGCTAAAATTAGCAATCAAATAATATTATGGTATTTTCAGTTGAAATTAATGGATTCCTTTGAATTGTAAGTCCCTTTGTGGGCCTCTGTTTGTGGCCGACCCAGATCATAATCTTTTATTTGTACATATTTTATGAGCTTTGATTATTTCCGGTATGTGTGCGCCGGTTTTTTTTTCTCTGTTGTATTTTTCTTTATTTATATGCCATAGCTCAAGGCCAAGTTTTTTAATTGCTGGCGATAAGAAAGAGGCGAAAAGAAATTTTATGTTAGTATGGGTATTTGTTTTTATTGGAAATGGTTAATAAAAAAGAGTGTCAATTCTGAGAATTTAGGATTTCACTTGAAATTGTGGAAAATAATTTAAACGGAAAAATAAATGACTAATAACTCATTCAGATGCTATATTTTAAGAAAATGTCAAAAGTCCTTTAACATAACTTTTCTCAGTAGGTGGAAAAAGGTGGACATTTGAAGATGGGTATTTTGGAGGCTTAGCACTCTCCTCTTGATCCGCTACATAGAGTCAGTTGATTTTATAGTATTTGTTATTAGGTGAAGGGAAAGAGATATAATCCTGACATTTTATAGTTAGGTTACTAATAATATCTGTGTGTGAGGTTTGGCTGTTGTTTGGAAATACGTCCTAAAATTGTACGACAAGTACTTAATGGTATTAAATTAAGTATTAGGTGAAGGAATAAGGCTGGAATTCTCAAATTTTGTTGGTATCTGGAATTGGAATATGGAATTGTAGTGGGGAAAATTAAAGAGCCGAAATCTTAAAATTTGATAATTAGGTCGGGGGTTTTGGAAATGTGTTATATAATTGTACGAAGAGGATTATATTCGTAATTTTCTGCGGTTCGCTGTTAAAATTATACATCCTTCCTAAACTGCCTTCCATCCTCATCGGCGAGCTGTACTCAAGGAGCCTTTACCACAGGCCAACTAAAACAAAGACGCCTTTCCCATAAATACATACTAAGGTGGAGATATGGGGTTTTAGGAAATAATGTTAATTGGATTTAATTGGAAGGATGTAATATCTAATTTAACAATCAGAAGTTCTATTCACACCATAATTGGAGATTAACTATCATCTCCAAAAATTGATATGGGACAAATTCACTCTCTACTTCTC